TCTCCTATTTACCTGCTATTGTCTTTAGGTTTGATATCTCCTCTTTTCCTGCTATTGTCTTTAGGTTTGATGCCTCCTCTTTACCTGCTCTTGTCTTTAGGTTTTAAGTCTCCTCTTGACCTGTTATTGTCTTTAGGTTTGATGTTTCCTCCTTACCTGTTATTTTCTTTAGGTTTAATGTTTCCTCCTTACCTGTTACTGTCTTTAGGTTTGATATCTCCTATTTACCTGCTATTGTCTTTAGGTTTGATATCTCCTCTTTTCCTGCTATTGTCTTTAGGTTTGATGCCTCCTCTTTACCTGCTCTTGTCTTTAGGTATTAAGTCTCCTCTTGACCTGTTATTGTCTTTAGGTTTGATGTTTCCTCCTTACCTGTTATTGTCGTTAGGTTTGATGTCTCCTCTTTACCTGTTGTTGTCTTTAGGTTTGATGTTTCCTCTTTACCTGTTATTTTCTTTAGGTTTGATATCTCCTCTTTACCTGCTCTTGTCTTTAGGTTTGATGTTTCCTCTTGACCTTTTATTGTCTTTAGGTTTGATGTTTCCTCCTTACCTGTTATTGTCTTTAGGTTTGATATCTCCTATTTACCTGTTATTGTCTTTAGGTTTGATATCTCCTCTTTTCCTGCTATTGTCTTTAGGTTTGCTGCATCCTCTTTACCTGCTCATGTCTTTAGGGTTGAAGTCTCCTCTTGACCTGTTATTGTCTTTAGGTTTGATGTTTCCTCCTTACCTGCTATTGTCTTTAGGTTTGATGTCTCCTCTTGACCTGTTATTGTCTTTAGGTTTGATGTCTCCTATTTACCTGTTATTGTCGTTAGGTTTGATGTTTCCTCTTTACCTGCTATTGTCTTTAGGCTTGATGTTTCCTCTTTACCTGTTATTGTCTTTAGGTTTGATGTTTCCTCTTTACCTGCTATTGTCTTTAGGTTTGATGTATCCTATTTACCTGCTATTGTCTTTAGGTTTAATGTTTCCTCTTTACCTGCTATTGTCTTTGGGTTTGATGTCTCCTCTTTACCTGTTATCGTCTTTAGGTTTTAAGTCTCCTCTTGACCTGTTATTGTCTTTAGGTTTGATGTTTCCTCTTTACCTGTTATTGTCGTTAGGTTTGATGTCTCTTCTTTACCTGCTATTGTCTTTAGGTTTGATGCCTCCTCTTTACCTGCTCTTGTCTTTAGGTATTAAGTCTCCTCTTTTCCTGCTATTGTCTTTAGGTTTGCTGCCTCCTCTTTACCTGCTCTTGTCTTTAGGTTTGATGTTTCCTCCTTACCTGTTATTTTCTTTAGGTTAAATGTTTCCTCTTTACCAGGTACTGTCTTTAGGTTTGATATCTCCTATTTACCTGCTATTGTCTTTAGGTTTGATATCTCCTCTTTTCCTGCTATTGTCTTTAGGTTTGCTGCCTCCTCTTAACCTGCTCTTGTCTTAAGGTATTAAGTCTCCTCTTGACCTGTTATTGTCTTTAGGTTTGATGTTTCCTCCTTACCTGTTATTGTCTTTAGGTTTGATGTTCCCTCTTTACCTGTTATTTTCTTTAGGTTTGATTTCTCCTCTTTACCTGCTCTTGTCTTTAGGTTTGATGTCTCCTCTTGACCTGTTATTGTCTTCAGGTTTGATGTTTCCTCCTTACCTGTTGTTGTCTTTAGGTTTGTTATCTCCTATTTACCTGTTATTGTCTATAAGTTTGATATCTCCTATTTACCTGTTATTGTCTTCAGGTTTGATATCTCCTCTTTTCCTGCTATTGTCTTTAGGTTTGATGCATCCTCTTTACCTGCTCATGTCTTTAGGGTTTACGTCTCCTCTTGACCTGTTATTGTCTTTAGGTTTGATGTTTCCTCCTTACCTGTTATTTTCTTTAGGTTAAATGTTTCCTCTTTACCTGTTACTGTCTCTAGGTTTGATGTCTCCTCTTTACCTGTTATTGTCTTTAGGTTTGATATCTCCTATTTACCTGTTATTGTCTTTCGGTTTGATGTCTCCTCTTTACCTGTTATTGTCTTTAGGTTTGATGTCTCCTCTTTTCCTGCTATTGTCTTAAGGTTTGATGTTTCCTCTTTACCTGCTCTTGTCTTTAGGTTTTAAGTCTCCTCTTGACCTGTTATTGTCTTAAGGTTTGATGTTTCCTCCTTACCTGTTATTGTCGTTAGGTTTGATGTCTCTTCTTTACCTGCTATTGTCTTTAGGTTTGATGCCTCCTCTTTACCTGCTCTTGTCTTTAGGTTTTAAGTCTCCTCTTGACCTGTTATTGACTTTAGGTTTGATGTTTCCTCCTTACCTGTTATTTTCTTTAGGTTTAATTAGGAGAAGAAGATGCCGGAGTATATTTTTATCACCTGACACAAAATTCTGCGCGTCGAAAGGCTTGAACTGAAAGTTGCTCCATGCTGGCTTGTCTTGTGAGGTTGCTCGGACATTAAAGTGACTTGTCTCTTGTAGGTTTACTGAAATAACAAAAGCAATGACGGTATATGAAAAATATACAAGTTAGTAATAAGGGGGAGGGGGGAGGGATATGCAAAAATTGTACAATATCCTTTAACCGTAGGACAATTAAAAACCTATCCACATTTAATAAGAGAGTCATAATGTGAAAATTGTGAAAAATCTTTTTAATCGATCATTGAATAAGTTTTATTTCAAGCCGTTAAAATTGTAGTTTCCCCTCTGAAACATATTTGCTAGGTTCAAATTTCGGGTATCACTTTACAAGTCAATTATTCCAACTATCTCTGTGACAGAATTTCAACGAATAAGCGAGGTTCAGTTTTTGTTTTGCGTATTTTATTTTATCTTTCCAAACACAAATAAATCCTCAGCGAATATATGCGTTGAACTGTAAAGATAGTGTTTAAAATTACGAGCTTTTGACACCACGACAGAATAAGATAAGCAAAATATACGAAAAGATTATACTTACACAATTGAAATCAAACGTAATCGCCTTTTTTAGAGTTTGAAACGATAAGAAGAATGTCAATAGTCATTTGAAAATAATATGTGCAGAACAAATATACTGAATACTTACGTGGAAGTGTCAAACCAGATCGGCGACCTAGGATAGAAAGATAGACTAGGTAACAAAATACACGGACAGGGATCGACATCGTATTATTTGTGTGAACTTCTGAACTACTATGCGTGATACTATCAGTTAGAGCATTACTAACTTGCAGTATGTTAGAGTGGGTTCAGTATTATCAATTGAAAGCGTAGGTGTCGAAGAGAGAGGGAAGACCGTTATATCAAAATGTTTGAGATATTAAACGACAGCTGGAGCAGCTGGCATGTATGCATGCATCACTCTTCAGTACGAAACACTGTAACATTATAGCTATCAGGTATCAACATGATATCGATGCTCTTCTATAGTTCTATGCATGAATAACTTAAATCGAAATGACATCGTTATATCTTCAGCAAATCTGTCCGTGACCAACACACTCCATGAACTATTTATGGGGTAACGATAGTATAGTGCTACTCTATAAACGTAACGTCATGATGATTCGTAAAACTAGAACATTTCGAAATTTCGAAGTTATTGCATAAACACTAGAAGACAAGTATATTTAAATATATGATATATTATATAGTAAATGAATGTAGAAGGGACACAATTAAAGATATATGAGAACAGCGACATGAGGTAACAGTGTGAGATTAATAATAAACTCGTCAAATCTTTCACCAGGTTTGGGTTGTTAAGTTATTGAAGCTGAACTATAAACTATATTGTAGTATGCTGTTTACATTGCCAAATAATACATCCTCCAAATATGTCAAACAAAATTCACACCACATTCCCAATCATGCAAGAAGCAGGCACGCAAGCAATTTACACGAGCGTTTTTCTTTTACTAAACCGTAATTTTATTATCCGACATTTCAAACGAAATTTGTCAACAACAGCAGTTCGAATCTTTAGTGTTCTTTATCAAATATCCAGCGACATGTTTTATACGAAAAAGACAACAAGAAGCATAAATAGGAAGCCAGTTCAATGGAAATCATTTTGTTAAAAATGCACAGACCCAATCATTAAAATTTGGTTTGAAACGAACTAGACAGATGTCAACTTCAAATGTTTAATTGAGTCACACTCGGTTTTCTTACCAACACCCTGATTGTTAATTGCGAATACATTTCCGTATTTTCCAGAAAAGCCTCCTCCTGTCAAATGGAAAACATTCTCAATATTATAAGACTTTTTCTTTTCAATATTTGTACATATTTATTTCAGTACAATTGTTAAAACAGTTGAAAAAGGTAAAGTTAATAGCAAATTATGGCTTTTTCCTCATTAGGATGAAATAGTGCCTTGTATTTCCAATGCATGAACCATCGTTAGCAAATGTTGTCGTTTAGTCAAAAAAAGAATTATTGAGTGGATTCGCTTTCATGAAACAAAAATAAAAAAATATATAAAGAAAGACGAAATGACACATTCAGAACGTACTGACATTTGTTTTAAAAGTAATCCTAAAGCAAGACAATTTTAAAAACATAGCGAATAAATAACAGTGTTGTATCATCATTGTTGCTGTGAGTAATCACTGATGTGTAACAGTTTCAGTGGTTTTAATGTGCTGTCATTGGTTAGTACAGAAAGTGTTACAACATTTTCAACGTTTGTATAATCATTGCTTTGTGGTAGGACAACGCTGTGTTAATTGATTAACTGCATTATTGTGATAGTCCAATATGTATGATAATATCTACGATGTATACCATTCATGAAGCCCATAGGGTCCACTAAATTGTGCCCTCCTGAAAATCTCATGGCACCGCCTGAAAGTTAATATATGGCTTTTTAAAATCTTATACTACGATATATCTTCAATCTAAATATTTGACATTGTTTAAATTTATATAGTTTTACTAAATGACGATTACATTTTTTTATTGCTATTCTTTAGACTGTTTTGTAAAGGAATTATAACGCTTATTAAAATACAGCTACATACCTTGCATGGCTCCAAGTGGATCTAAGGCGGAGCTACTGGCTGCAGTCCCTGTCACGGATCAGATAGTGCCGTAGAAAGGAAGATATTTTATGTTTTGTAATGGCAATCAAAATGTTCAAGTGAACCTCAAACTCTTTGAACATATGCACCACCACCATAACAGACCTAATCAGACAGTCCAAAATGGAACAAATGGTCGGTATAAACCATGTTCACAAATACTTAAAAAATAACATGCAAATGTTTATTTACTTACGATTATTACCATTTTTTGCTTCCCTCTGAAATGGTGTTTTGTTAAAATGAAAATTAAAAGTTTTCAGAATTAATTTTAATGTTTGTAGAAGCAATCGCCACCAAAGCAAGTGCAACAAGCTCATACCTATAAGGGCTTCATGCAGCAGCTATAAACAATATGATCATGTACCTACCTGACGATTTTGTATTTCCTAATCCGGAGGGAGCAGCCCCGCTTATCATTGCGTTAGGGTTGAACATCGAGCCGCCAGCTGAACTGCCTCCAGCTGAACCACCTCCCATCATGGCGCTTGGGTTGAACATGGAACCACTCGACCCGGTATTGGATCCCCCGCTAGATCCCCCACTGGATCCCATGCTTGGTCCACCCATCATACCGGATGCTCCGCTCATTAAGGCATTGGCATCCATCTTACCACCATTGGCAGGTGCTGATACACCTGAAGAAAACAAATTAGTTATTTGATAATGAATAACAATAACCGCTGTAAAATATATGTATACCTATTGTCACATGCAGCCCCCCCCCCCCCTTTTTCCATAAAAAAATGACTATGTAATATATCAACATGATTAGGGATTATAGAAGAGGGACTATGTATTTTTTCTATAGCCTCATATTTGAATCAATTTGATAATAATAACTTTCACGCTACAGCCTGACTGCTATTGAGCTTGATTCCTACCTCCAAACATGTTCAGACTGGTTCCTTGTTGTGCCATCTGCATGTTGACAGATCCAGCATCAAACGAACCCCCGTTACTGCCACCTCCTATTCAAGAAAAGATCATGGATTAGCAACAGATTGTATTTTGACAGTTTTTTTTAGTTTATTTACATCCAAGAAAGACACACTTACAACTTTTCTTCATAATGAATATGTATCCGTTTCTGCGTATAAACATGTCTGCGCATGATAAATATCTGTAAATAAGTTAATGTTTCGCAAGGTGCGAGAATTCGTCAATACTTGGCATTGCTCAAAGCATTTAATTACGGCACGCGTACTCATTTAACGATCAGGAACAAGAACTGAGTTGTATTATATGATTACTTGCTAAGCGTGTAGCGTTGGAGACGTACCACTACTTGTTTGAGGTCCCATGTATTTATTCATATCAGCACCTTTAAAAGAAAGAAAGTAATTAGATTAACAGAGTGCCTAATTACTTGAAAAGAAAGCAACTGTGATATTGTTGAAAATGCTAATATTTCATTCCTTTGTTGTTATATGAACATTAAAATGATCACAAACATTTTGTGAAAATTATGCTTGCCTACCCAAAAGTGGGTTCAGTGGGTTGAATCCCGATGTGGCCAGTGAGTTGGTTGCGATTGGGTCAAAGGATCCAGAAGTACCACTGGAAGTAGAAGACGTCTGGCCACCGTTTGTTGATTGTGGCTGCTGGCCAGGTTGGGACTGGGATTGGCTTGGCTGTGATCCTGAAGATGAAGCAGAACTAGAACCTCCCAAACTTTGCTGTTGCGGGTTGAAGCCCTGGCCATTTGAGAACGATGGGGCATTCCCTCCTGTTCCAGCACCAGTGTTGGCAGTATTGGGATCATAATTTCCGCCAGTGTTAATAATGTTATTAGGATCATATTTCGGTATAAACGAACCCGATGACCCGCCGCTACCCAAGCCTGACGTAATACTGTTGGAGGGAGGTGCAATCCCGGTGCTTCCCCCTCCTCCACTTGACTGCGGTTGTCCTAAGTTTGAATTGATTTGATTTGGATCAAACGACGAAGATGAGGCACCTGTTGTCTGTGGTTGACTAGAGGACGGCTGACTGATTCCCTGTGTATTCTGGGAAGGTTTTCCGAAAGTACTTGCATTGCTTGCACTCTGTGATGATCCAACACTTCCGGTTGAGCTGCCTCCGCTGGACTGAAAGTTTCCAAAACTACTAGCGGACCCTCCTGAAGAGCTCCCAAAAGAGTTTGCAGAGGAACTACCGGACTGGGAACTTCCAAAAGTTGTAGAGGAACTACCGGAGGATCCACTAGACTGGGAACTCCCAAAACTACTTGCAGATGTCCCGACAGAACCTGCTGATTGCTGTCCAGATTGTTGACTTCCGGCAGAAGAAGCTGAAGTCTGAGGGGATGCTTGAGATGATGAAAATGGCGAACCTGACGACGATGGCCCACCTCCAATACTATTTGCAACGTAAGGATTAAACATTGAGCCGGACGAGGAGGCGCCGGACTGAGATCCGCTCATACTATTGGGGTTAAACATGGAACCTTGATTTTGATTCATTTGATTTGGATTAAAAGAAGCAGTACTAGTCTGTCCCACATATGATTGACTCTGTCCGGATTGTCCCGCACTGGCCGATTGTCCTCCACTGCCTGATTGTTGCTGTGATGATCCTGATCCACTCATTCCATTGACGTTGTTTGGGTTGAACGTATTCCCACCCATGCTTCCCATCAAGTTGTTAGGGTTAAAACTTCCATAATACTGGCTATTAGACGACTGTGTACCGCTGGAACCCGATGAGCCCGACGAACCACCTGCCATCATGGCGTTCGGGTTAAACATAGATGATGAACTGCCCATCATTGCATTAGGGTTGAACATATCTCTGCGCAAAAGTTTATGTAGACTTCTATCTGCAATGGTTTGAAAATGATATCGATTTTAAAATGATTAACACAATTATCTTTAAGACCATATAGTAGATCACTCAAATCTGTACAGGAAAACGATAGTTTCAATTTTGAATTTCGGTAATAGAGTAATACTTCTTTTTTTAACTTCCTTTGCGTTTGTAGAAATACACTATATAAGCTCATAAACACACGTTTCTGTATTCAAATCTTTTCATTGTGCAAAATATGTTCTGATTTTGTTTAATGATTCATCCCTGAACAGTATTCAAAGCTGTTAAATCGGATAGAAACAACGTCAGCGATTAACTTGCACAGCTATATGCTGTATGAAAGGATATTCGAAAGAGCAAAAGTTCAATTAGTTGATACTGGTATGAAACCCTGTGATAAACACATCTATTTATATGAGCACACATTCCTTACCTCAAATGGTACACATATTTAAAGCTTCAAATACACACAGATATACACGTGCAAAACCTACCATATGTTTGGGATTCTGCATTTGCTGGGGGACGACTTCCCACCATAATTAGCGTAATTAACATCCAAATAGACATGGCTTTGACATCAGATACACAGTTTACACACCTGGACTTTGGTGTTTAGGTAAGGTGTTATCGTAAATGTCCTTGCTATCATAGGCGAGCGGTGGTCAGTTAATATGAAAATTGGTCACGCACATGTACCATACCATGATATTCCACAGGTAGTAATTTGATGAACAAACAATATATGAATTCATATTCCGGTTCTTTCTATTTAAAATGCATTTGTTGTTACATTTTCATTGTTATGCATGTTTGCTATTAACGTTTTAGGTATGTAAATACATTGAAAAGTATTTATCATGATCTTAGAATAGAAACACATGTATTGATGTCCTGGTAGTGATTAATACTGTACTATTTATATCATACAATATATATAATTATACATAAAAAAAATAGTCAAAATATGCAAACATGATCTCCACTATTTAACATTTTACAGAATGCATTATACAACAAAGGAAAAACTTCAGCATAGAGAAGAGAAATCTTTCCAGGGAGTGCTATAACTTCTTATAGAAAAAATAATAATTCAAAGATATGTTATGGATGTCTCCCAAAAATCTGAGAGATTTCGGAATAATAATATAGAAAAGGATTTTGGTTATAATATTGTGTATCTTTTATGGCATCATGTGTCCGAAGGTATATATGGTGACATGCCTATACGGTCCGATTACTAAAGAAGTCCTTTGTGAATCTTAATTACTATCTGAGGTACAAAAACATGATTGTTATGTGGAAACAAAATTACTTCAGTGAACTGTCTGATTCAAAAATAAATTTTGTCGACTGATTTCGTCTGAAACGTCACATTGAAAGCAGGTATACGTTGTTTTCAAGACATGCTATATACATATTTTCATATCCCTATCAGAATAAGTTTCGGAATGGTGATATTAACCTTATACTAGCATTATGGCAACGAACGCTCGAGAACAAATATTAGTAATGCGCTGGTTGTTGACCTAGTGAAAGATTTTATACTACGCTGTTGCTAATTGTAAGCTAGCTTCGTGTATTGCTGAGGAAAACTGACATTTTGAATAGGTGGATGCATACAAATTGCTGGATAGAGCTGGATGTATGGGTGAATGGAAAAAAAGGAGCGAATAAAATGTAGATCGATAGATTAATCGACTTTGAGATCTGACATATTCTGCGGTTCGATGTTGTGGTATACATATCTATATACAGTATTTGGGCAATTTGTATTTACGGAAAACAAAGGGCGTGATCTATTATCGATTTATAGCTTAACAAATGTTAAATCAAACTTGTGTTTTAAAAGCTATAATATATATTATTAAATTTAAAACTCGACCTGTTCTTTAATGTTTATTAAACCATGAAATATCTTTGATGTGAAGAAGAATGAAGTAGATCGATAATTGTTAACAAAAACCCTTTGATAAAGTGTATATATTTCTTTATATACAGCATCATATTTTTTCTATAAATTAGGAATGATTATAATTATTATGTATACAAACCAAAACAAGTTTGTTCATTATAAAAACAAACAAATGATGAATGTCGATACATGAGTCACTGAATGTATTTATTACACTTGAATTATGCATATATTGACCATGAAACAATGACTGTCGTATCAAGTTCCTCCAAAGATGTTCAAAGCATGGTTAACTTAACGACATGTGAACAAATATCTTTCGTGTTCGATGTTTTAAAACAGAGTACCAATTCAGAACTTAACAACAAGAACGGTGATTAAAAAAAAGGTTAATTTACAGATATTTCGAAAGAAATCGTCCAAAAAAGTAAATACAAAAATATTAGCGTAAACGACTGGATAAGTTAACCAGGCTCTGAACATCTGATCGTAGGTGTTACTGTCGCGTGATTGTGCTAAGGAGCCATGTGACCTTGTACAGATGTGAGACACCTTATCATGGCTCTGTGCCGTGTGTACATGTCAGATGGCGAGAGGAGTGTTCAGCGTGATTCCTTAAGGACTTAATATTTCATGTCCTTATAAGAATTTACATAACTGAATGTTCAAGCAAGGAAATCACAATAATAAAATCCCTGTTTGAATGCATTCAACAAGCTTTAAATCTTTAGATCTTTTCCGCGTTATAAACTATTCTCTCATGTGATCAACACTAACTCCTTAATTAAGTCAAAAACTCAATCAAAGGCCTCATTTCCAGATGTTCGTCAAAGCTGTAATTTTGATTAAGTTGATTTAGTTAAATATGTAGTAACGTTGTCTTCCATTACCTCTAAAACGGCAAGTTACACGTGTCCTATGTGTGTGACCCATGAGGTATTAATTGAATCGTTCATCCTCTTTTGATAAGATGGAGGATTTCACCTAGGTTGGAACATTATTAAATTGCCAAAAACTCGGCAAGTTTCTTGTTTGGCAACTTAAGAACCTTTTCCGTGGGTTGAGATCCTTCTCCATCACATCCTCAAGTGAGAGCCCTATTCGTCTAACCTTGTTTACATTGTTGAAATGGCTTCATGCAATAGTTATGAATGAGGAATCCCCCGCTTAACATCCAGAATACTGTGCATTCTCACCAAAAGAGAAAACTAAGGCTTACATTGGCGTGCCCGGTTGCCTTCAGTTTGGAAGCTTCATTTTTCTTAAGCTTGACTGGAAATGCATAAAACAAATCAGTTGAATATTAAAATGTTCACTACTGTGTCTGCTGACGTCTTGAGACATGACGTCATTTCAGTATGTTTTGAAGCTTGGCATAATGCTTTACTTTTCAAAAATACCACCAGATCACTGTAACTTTTCCCAAAATTTCAAAATTGTTTTTCTTTTATTTCTTAGTTATGAGCAAAACAACCAAACGACTATGTAAGTTTTCAAACAATTTTATTTATTTGTGGTTGTCGCACATGGATGAATGAAAAATGTCACCAAACCCTCTAAGGATAGGTTTGAGATTAAAGATAATATGAGGAACAAAATAAGGAACATTTACTGCAGCATCAACATATAAGGTCAAACTCATACTCAAATGACAATAACAGGAACTGAGGAAATAACTTCATCAATTTCCGTCTTACATTCGGATGTTTTGAGGTATGATAAATATGTGTATCGCCGAGTGTTATCAGGTAATTTGCAATGATCTGAAATGTTTTGAGTGTACACAGTATTCATCCTCTCCAACATCAAACCGTTACCACCTTTAGATATCAAGATTTTCCAGGACTAAAGAATGTCACGAAATATATCTATAAAACACATGGTTGTAGTTTTCACAGCACATTGAACGGCATAACGATGAATCACGTTGTCTACAGTTAACACTTTAGTGAGGATAGTGTTTATGTGCGTTGGTCTTCAGTTTCCGGTCATCAATTTGACAAACTCTGGAATAAAGATGACATCTTACAATTTACATTAATCTGTACAGCTTGAATAATTAATATATATAATCCACGATTAAAATCAATGCACGGCAATCTAAATTAATAGTTCTTCCTAACACATCTGTGAAATGTCTTTCATGACTTGATATTAAGAAATTTCAAATGAACTAATTCAAAATAGATATTTGTTAAAACAATCATATATGTAATTGAAATATGATGCAGGACACATCCTTTAATTTTATTTTACTAGTGAAATAGCAGTCTATCAACAATGAATTTCACACTGTAAAAAAGTGATATTTTCACGGCCGCAGAATAAGCGTGGTTTTTGTACATCTTTGCTACGTTTACTAAAGTATCATTTTATCTGCACAATTTATACCATTTATAATAGCAAATCATACCGAATGGTAGCAGAAAACGGAATAATTGTAACGAGTAGCATATGCAAAGAGGCGCGAGACATTGCTGGCAAGCAAGACGTCATTAGCATATGGTGCCAGAAAATAAATAAGATAATACGTGTTGTTGAAACTACAATTATGTAATGGTTATGACAAACATATACCGCGCAAATCTTTTAAGAAAAGATGCAAGTCTAGCGTTTGGGGGTTCCTTATTAACAATGTTAAACGTCATTGTGCAATATTTATCATATTAAATCTCTTATAAAACTACAGCGTCATACCTTTGTAATTCACTTTACCATCATTGTTAACGTCCGCTTCGTTCATCAACATATCAACTTCCTCGGTGGTAAGACTTTCCCCAGAGGTGGCTACAACACTCTGTAGTTCGTTAGCAGTAAGGAAGCCATTGCCATCTTTGTCAAACAGACGGAATGCCTCTACCAGGCCTGTCTCTATGTCTGCTTCCTGTAATCTCTTCGCTACGAGATGGAGAAACTCGTCGAAATCTATGGAACCATTTCCTGAAACAGCACAACACATTCGTTTTTTTTTTACAAATCTAGCATATCCAAGACGGTATGTTGATCATGACGATATATATCATCAAGGAAATACATATCTTAGCGGGAGAACTAGGTAGTAAGCCAAGAAAATAGTAAAATACCAACAAAGGATAACGGAACACTGTTGTAATGTCTTACCGTCACTGTCCACTAGTGCTACCATATCGTGGAGGTCGGCATCGGTAGGGTTCTGGCCCAGAGATCTCATCACAGTACCTAGCTCCTTGGTTGTTATAGTTCCATCTCCATCACTATCGAATAACAGGAATGTCTCCTTAAATTCTGTATTAGGAAAAAAGGCAACCGTTTAAAAAGTCCGCAATTAATTCCATTCATTCATATAGCCAGTATAAATTTTTGTACATCATTTCCTCGTCTTCCAAAAAGGGCAAGTCGGACGTAACATATATTTATCGTTTACTTGAAGAAGGCCAGGAGGACGAAATATTGGGACTTAGAGTGACACTTGCTTAAAATCATTTTATTTTGACAAAATTCATGTTTCCCTATTGCTTAACAGGTAAACGCACTGGAAATGTCTTTTCACAAAAGTCAAAATAATGCTATTTGAGAGTAATGTTTTAAGGCAAGGAAATCTCTATCGTCTACCGGATCATAACATGTCAACTGTTACGATATGATATGATTTATCTTGTAGATAGGGTGTCTACCTGTTATAATTAGTATTAGGGAGGATGTCTACCTGTTATAATTAGTTATATGGAGGATGTCTACCTGTTATAATTAGTTATAGGGAGGGTGACCACCTGGTTTATTTAGTTTTATGGAGGGTGTCTACCTATTAAAATTAGTTTTAAGGAGGGTGCCCTCCTGTTATAATTATTTTAGGGGGGGAGGGACCTGTTATAATTGATTTTAGGGAGGGTGCCTACCTTTTATAGTTAGTATTAGGAAGGGTGTCTACCTGTTATAATTAGTATAAGGGAGGGTGTCTAACTGTTATTATTAGTATCAGGGAGGGTGCCTACCTGTTATTATTCGTTTTAAGGAGGTTTCCCACCTGTAATTATTATAAAAAGGGATGATGTTTACCTGTTATAGTTAGTATTAGGGAGGGTGTCTACCTGTTATAATTAGTATCAGGGAGGGTGCCTACCTGTTATTAGTAGTATAAGGGAGGGTGTTAAACTATTATTATTCGTTTTAGGGAGGTTTCTTACCTGTTATAATTATAATAAGGGAGTGTGTCTACCTGCTATAATTAGTATCAGGGAGGGTGCCCACATTATATATTTAGTATAAGGGAGGGTGTCTACCTGTTATAATTAGTATCAGGGAGGGTGCCCACATGATATATTTAGTATAAGGGAAGGTTTCTACCTGTTTTAATTAGTATTAAGGAGGGTGTCAACCTGTTGTAATCCGTTTTATGGGGGTGCCTACCTGTAATCTGTTCTTTGGTCAACTGATGGACCTGTAAAAGAAACAGTTTTATAATATAGTTTCAAACAGTACTTTTCATTAAACATTTTAAAGTATTGAGTAGTACCCCATTATTAGTTTCAATAGTGGTGGAATAAACGAGACCTCGATGATTTATATGTTAAACAAGAGCGTTTCGAAAATAAGGTACACGTTCATTTTGTTTGTTTGGAGTTTACAGCCATTAATGTCGAGGTATAATTCCAATGGTTCATCTAAACGTGTATTGTTACAGCAATCTACTGAACGAATACCTCAACTATAGACATTGTCGACAAAGTATGTTTCGGAAAATTGTGAGACAAATTCGACTAATTGAAGCATTAGTCTGCGTTTATTTATTTCGATCAACAGATGATTTAACGAAGAATTCTGTGGAAGATGGTGGCATTTCTCCTTGGCATGTTTTGTGAGAGTGCACCAACTCATTCCCTGGTCAGAAAGATGTGATCGAGAGGAGTGTCATGCTACCGTGCCCAGGGTATGACATTTGACATGACATATTAAAGCGGCCATTGATTGACCCATTCATCTATAAACATCATCTCCGTATGCCTAGGCTTAAGCGTTGCGAGGATGACAGACCCAAAGAGAAACACTAGGCTCCACGATAGGAAGGTAAGCGCGATTCATTCCGGTATCTTATTTACCTACCTCAGGCGACTGAGCAACTGTAAATATATGACGAATGGTACTATAAGAAGACACTGCTTATTTCCGTAACATTACAATACTGACCACTATATGTGAAGTAATGAATGCTGAGAGCCCCTAGCGGTAACATACTTAATGCTATATAATTCATTGAATTGGCTTGTTATAAATGACAAATTGGATGTATACCGGGGTGTAACAGTGTTAAATAAACATTAAGGTTGCAACGTATTACAATTGTAAAAACATGCTTTTGTATCTAAATCTAGTCATATCCTATTTCTAGGATATATAATGATTTATTGAAAAGAATTGCAGGAATTGGTAAAGGACAGTTAAAATTCGAAATTGTCTGGTTACACAAGCACAAAATATTAATCAGTATTAAAGCAGTATGGTATACGGTGGAAAAGTAAATAGAAAAATCCGACAAATTAATTTCATGTTCGTTATATTTCTTTCCATCAGTAGTAACATTCCAATTACATGTCACAGTTAAAAAGTTATTTCAGAGGAAGTGTTCAAAGAATCATGAGGTTTCTGGATAGATGCTTCTGTTGATCAATAACCTGCTAAGCTTTTGTTTTCTGAAAGAAGAAAGTTTTCTTTATTTATTTTTACGGTTGTAAGCATGAATTTCACCTATACCATGTGAGTGGTTGTCACGATTGAAGATTTTGTTTCTGGTTTATGGTATGAAGTTCATGATCTCTTTCTTGTTGCTTACATATAGGTGTTTTATCATTTTCAGTAGTTTTTATACCAACTTTAAGTTCGGATTTTGTTCTGGTCTATTGACGATTTGGTACATTTGTTTCTTTTTCACTTTGATATAAGATATCTTTCTCATAGATCAATAAGTAAACCAGATATTCTGGTAATATGATAAAACTGTAAATGAGCAAATATTTTGTTTTAATTCTCATGTAAGAATAAGACAGTAATGACGTGAAGATTAAAAAAAAATATTAGCTTGATTCACGAAAATGTACATCGTCAAGTACTTCAGCAGGTGAGAATAAATCGATGAAAGAACGAAACGACAGCTGGTTTGTTTTAATGAGCATGCTGTCGTCAACATAATTTGATAGGTGTCTGTTCGATCGTTGCGTCTATAAAACAGGTTATAAGAGAACGATCACATGTTGTATGTCAGGGTATATGTTCATGTGTAGGCGTAAATACAATTTTCCAAATATACTTTAGTATACTAGCGGGAAAAAGATATTGTGCAGAAGCGAGGTAGGTCGGGCACGTATCTTGTTCTCGTCTGAAAACAAGATACATACCGAACTTTTTTTGTTTCTTTGTGTGGTTGTTTTAAAACTGTTGTTACAATAAAGAATTATAACGGCATTTATTTCTCAGAATGCAAGTTATAAGGAAACCTGACTTAATGAACAATTTTAAGATGGCATGGTCGCTCTAAATTTAACAACCTGATAAGTCATATTTAAATACGACATTTAAAGAACAGAATGTAGATATGTAAGCGATAAAAACGATGCATAGCTTTGTATAGGCCTGGTGACACACATAGCCTTTAATTCAAGATGAATGTGGCCAACAAAATATGCAAGAGGTATCTTCCTTGAAATAGATTAATTATATGAGTTCACTAATAATCACCTAAGTTACAATTGCTAAAATTCCAAATGTTTTAAATTTGTTATAAAGGGTTTCATAGGCACATTGCCCTATTGATATATTCATTGTTTCAGAATGTTTTAGACATGGATTTTCAGTATTTTCCTTTAGTGAAACTGTTGAGTTCTTAATGGACGAAAAATCTAATTTGTGAAGTAAATATTTACTTTGTTTGGCTTCATGCATCGATTTTCTAAATATTTGAATTGGTGTTTCATGACTTCGTATTTCTAGTAATTACATGTAGTAACTGATACCAATGTATGCATATTCGTAAACATCATTCAGCAGTTGATTAAGAGCGGTCAAAGTGTACTGCGTTGCAGCAAAATAGGGAGGTGTAAATATCTAGAACTGTTGACAGATTCCGTCATAAGCATCCTGTATCGTTAATAGACAGTGCCGTCAATACACATACATATGATCAATACAATCTTACCTTGTAATCAAGGAATGACGAACAAAATACCAACACGATGGGTGATGTTCTTGATTTCTATCCGGAGGCTGAGTTCAAACCGAGGTTAGAAATACAACAATTCCACCATAAGGGTTGAAATATCTCAGGCATGCCCTCGTAATATGAAATGATGCCTTTTCTCACATTTTTTCAATGCTATGCTTTAAAATAGTTTTTGAAGCATCTGTTGTATTTTTACCTGATTTGCGCATGAGCTTTCATGAAATTTGATCATTTTAATGTTCTTCTGACGTCAAAGTTTTGTTTTATTCAACGTTCTATGTGTTACACCTACGTGCACTGGGAAATCATACCCTACAGAGAAACAGAGGTCGACCGGGAGACAATTCTGCGAATAGCGAGAGAAATGGTCTATCTCACGACTCCTTATTGAAGAACGCATGATAATCAAATGAAATAGTTCTATTTTTAACCTTTTGATAAATTGTTATGAAGTCTAAAGTCTGCAGTTAAGCCATGTTTCGAAAAGAAAAATTAACGTTGTCTCCGGTACATAAGGCTCGCACTCAGCTACATTACAAACATGCAATATAAACGTAACGCGAACAGCTGCTTTACATAAATGATGTGACGTAGATATGATTAATTAGCTGACCTTGCTTGAGACATGAATATCAGGGTCCGAGTATTCTGATCCGATGTTGGATGTTTCTAAAGGCATCCGGAAGAAACTTAATCTCCTCGGTGCTGAAAACGTACTCTTCTTCATGATGCCCATTGCCATTTCTATTCGTGATGAGTATGTGTCCCCGACTTTGAACCCTGACAGAAATGTACTATTTTACTAACTACTGTTACAGTAATAACACCAGCTTGTTACACATGAGTGGTTTTGAAAACGGAGTTACTGTTATTGAAAAGTACACTGTGTGTTGTCTTGTGGGTAATACGTTCAAGTTCTGTTTGTACAGCCAGCCCGTTTTCAAAAGATAGTGTGTGTACACAACGTATCGTATACGTACCATGGTGGAGGGAATGGATCCAATTGTGACAGTATTAGTATGTTCCCAGCTATACACTTTACGGCTGGACACTCAACAAGTGGTTACAGTATATCTTCGTGCTATCACAGTGTCTAATGGGTCTCTAACATGCATCTCGCCATGTTTTACAAACAATCGCTCATTACCAATGTTACGTATGATCACCATTTAATAAGACCCTTTTATAAGAGCGGGTGTAACAATGTTAACTGAGTATTTGTTTTCGCCGTGTTTCTGAACCAGTGAGAGTTGATAGGGTCCCACAGATAATTAACTACACGTACAGGACTCTCGTTGGTATTCCCTGGTGTCATTATCATACCGTTGATGACTTACAAGTACTCTATGTTGTCGATATCGATGTTGGATTTTGTAAAATGTGCATGAATGTGCGGACTTACATATACCAAAATACTGCATTATCTACTACCTGGTTCAGTAATTGTCCAGAGACTGGCAAACAACAATTAAACAGTTGTTTTTGTGATTTTCTTGCTGTTATCAATAGCCGTTCTCTCAACTGTTATTATACCCTGAGCTGCTTTCTTTGAACGAAAATCATAAATGTAAATCGGTATCTTTCCTTTAGATATCTATCTTACATTAACTTACGATCATCGCATTCTCCCATTTATCTTCGAATACATGTTTAACAAAGGGAGATTATGAGCACGGATGTATAATGAAGACATCCTTACCGTCCATTCCGTAGCTCGATGAAGTATGAATAAACGTGACAACAACCGTTGGATTTGTTCACATGTTTATTACAGTTATAATGTACAACAAATTATATATAAATGTAGTAGATGTCATCCCTGCTGCCGTCTCACTGAAACATAAACGGGACGTATGTTTTGACAACAGTATATATCAGGTTTAGGTTTAGTACTGTTGTGTGACTAGAACATTGGGGGAAAATACAAAAACAAATAAAATTCAGTTTTTCGTTTAAAATATCTCTCTTCTTAACATTTGATTATAAAGAAGATGCTTAATTATTGTTGAGATTTCTTTTAAAAATGCATCTTGTATTATTTCCATCATGAACACCCCCTTTCCTCTCGAAAAATCTTTCTTGCAGGAATATGTTCAAAGATTTTCTTTAAAAAATGTACTATCACAATGTAAATAACAGCAATATTAGTATAATTGCTTATACCCGTGTACACTTGAGTATCACCTCACAGTTACTCACATAAGTAATGAACCATAACGTATAACGTATTAGGTAAGGTAAGTATATAGATTTCATTTCATTTCAGAATATTTATTGTTCAGATCTTAGATACAAAGGAATTGGGCAACAGGCAAAGCCTATGAGCGCCCTCTCCTTACAGTTATAAACAGTTTACACACATCATATTGAATTGAAGTAATGATAAAACATTTATATTATGTACATGAATATTGATATTTGCATGTCATTATTAATTTTTTGATAATTGTTGTACAAAAACTAGATTTTACAAAAAAATGGCAATTAAAATGATGCTGGTGGACAGAGCACATAGTAAAAGTATGTACTGGTATCATTCCACACAGCAAAGTCATGAGATAAACAAGTAAGTGTAATCTAGTTAAAGCGTCTTGTATCTTTAACGAATCTCTTAACCATCTCCAAGATACTTATGTTCATATTGATATCAAGTCTTTGACATCCATAAAGAAAAGTCTGGGTATTTAATGGAATAATGTCATTAAAAGCAGAAATGGAGTTCAGGAGAATTTGCCTTTGATTAGTATACAGAGTACAATGGAAGAAGAAGTGATCACATTCCTCAACAGGAGAACTACATAAGCAGGCAGGGGTATCAATTAGGTGAGATTCAAATAGATCTGAATTCAGTATATAGATAACTTTCATGCCGTAGTTTACCTCAGCGTCCGCCTCCTCCCATCATGAGGTTAGGGTTGAAAAAATTGAATGCTTGGCTGTTGATCTGATCAGGATTAAAGCCAGACCCACCTCCCCCTCCTTGTCCTAGTTGAGCATTTGAAGGATCCAAGAAGCTTGCCTGAATTTGGTTTAACTTGTTTGGATCAAATGACGGTATCAAACCCGAACTGGATGATCCACTACTTCCGCTTCCACCACTGCTACTTCCGCCGCTACTACTGCTTCCTCCGCCGCTACCTGGAGACGAAGGTGACCCGCCTCCCATCATAAATGCCCCAGGGTTAATAAACATATTAGGTTGTGTCATCTGAGTGGCTCCTCCGGTCTGACTGGAACCGCTAGAACCAGATCCACTGGAAGGTGATCCACCAGATGATGATCCACTGGGAGACGATCCGCCAGAAGGCGTTCCACCAGAAGCCATGCCACTAGAAGGCGATGTACTTCCACCAGAGCTTGGTATTTTTGCAGTTTGTCTTTTAACATCTAAAACAGAAACACGAGTTATATCGTACTTGACGAGCATTGGTCAAATAATCAAATGTTTACATTTAAAACGTATTAGTCATTATTTTTTAAATGGTATGCTGTTTATTTGAAGGGAAGAATCCATCGTTGCCACGTACTATAATACAACCGCCATTTAACATACATATAATAAACATGAGCTTGCAACATACGACGTTTGCCGAGCTGAGACTGAGGGTTGAACATATTGAAGCTAATGGTGTTCCATTGGTCAGGGTTATACATCCCACCAGTGGCACCTCCTGCCCCGAGTTTGGACTTGGAGGGGTCAAGGAAACTCGAGGTCAACTGGTTGACCGCATTAGGATCGTACTTTGGGATCGTTGTCTGTCTTGTCAAACCTGGATAAATCAGAGAGTGAGATTTAGATTAGTCGAAACCATTAGTAAAATAATCTGAACATACATATAAGGTAAGAAATAGGACAGCTCTTTCACATGCAATTGGATAGATTACACCATTTAAACATAAAACAATTGGTTAAAGAAGCAATATAAGTATAGTTGCAGATTTAATTAGGCCTCTTCATTGTTAATGAGGAATAACAACCCACCCAAACTTTTCTAAAAAAAATATATCAGGAACAAACATTTCTATTCAATATAACCTCGATTACACATCTGTCTATGATTCATTAACACTAACAGCGGTTGAATTGAGAATCGGAAAATTGTATAGAAAATTTCAATCATCTGTCAACCGGACTAGTATAGGCTGAATAAACAAGACTTGAGTATGTAATGTATATATATTTCTTATCTTTTTTATTCTAAAAACTCCCTTTTCAATGTAGACCCATATCTCTCTTGTGTAATCGGCAATTCATTGCTTTGTCGATATTTTGAAGTTGTGACGCCTTGAGAAAAGACATTTACTCATTTCTGTATTAATTTGTTCTGTTGGATTACTCTAACTTATATATTTCAGCAATAGTCCTAATCTCACTTACGACGTCTGCCAAGCTGAAACTGAGGGTTGAACATGTTGAAGCTGATGGTATTCCATTGGTCAGGGTTATACATCCCACCAGTGGCACCTCCTGCACCGAGTTTGGACTTGGAGGGGTCAATGAAACTCGAGGTCAGCTGGTTGACCGCATTAGGGTCGTACTTTGGGAACGTGGCTGATCCTCCCGAGGTTTGTCGTTTAACTGAAATTATAGTTACACATTATCATTAAGTGTAGCCTAACACTTAATTTTTCTATTTGATCAATTTAAAAACATTTGTATGTAAAATGTTTGCAGCATTTACTGACCTAATGCCATTCGTCCAACCAGTGATGAGAATGTCATGCCGTTTATTTTGTTGGGATCAAATGATATCGAGAAACCAGTTGAACTCATTTGGTTTGACCCGAATAGATTCGATGGAAAGCTAGCAGTGGATTGGCTAGAGGAATTGGAAGTAGCATTAGAGCTACTTCCGAATGGATTCTTGTTCATGGGATTCCCAGACTGAATGGGGTTACCGGCATGGTTTCCGGCCCCTGAGTATCCGGCTGTACTCTGTTGACCAGACGAGGCCTGTGGTTTAAGGGATTCGGCATTCCAGATGATACTGACATAGGATTGGTACTATTTTTAGAAGACGAGGATGAAGAGGAGGTAGATGAAGAACCACCACCAGCCTGATTCATCTGAGTTTGTGTGGCAAATGGATTTATGGCGCCCGCGCCACTCATGCTTCCACTGTTCATAAGATATCCGGACAGCATGGGATTACCAGCAGGGTTTCCGGCCCCTGAATATCCGGAAGTACTCTGTTGACCAGACGAGGCCTGTGGGTTAAAGGGGTTTGGCATTCCAGATGATCCTGACTTAGGATTGGAGTTTATGTTATTTCCAGAGGACGAGGATGAAGAGGAGCTAGATGAAGAACCACTAGCATGATTCATCTGAGTTTGGGTTGCAAATGGATTCATTGCGCCCGCGCCACTCATGCTACCCATGTTTGCAGGATTGAAAATATAACCGGAAGTGCCCCCGGAACTGGAAGTCTGCCCCCGGTTTCCTGAGGAAGGAGACCGAAACTTGCATATAACGTTAGTTGATTTCTTTTCACTGTGAAACTTTGTCTGATGAACAAAATTAAATTCTATCCCATAAAGTATAACATTGTCTATGGTCTCCATGGTATTAAATTCCCCGTACAACACTAAGCAAACATTTACTATAGGCTTGTTGTCCCCCAGGATAAGAATAATTGTTGTATATGAAAAAGAAAGGACGATTTCTATGAAAACTCAAATCCATCATTTCAACAAAGACTAGCTCGTCGTCGGTTCGAGCACGTGTCACAAATTCATCCATTTTAAAGCCAGCCTCATTTGTATATCATTCTAATCGCGATGAGAAATCATAGACTGAGCAAACATGGTTTCAACTTGAAACGTTACATAATGACGTCAACATGAAGTATATACACCGACTCTAACTTGACATTTGAGCTATTGATGCTACGTTTCAAAATCATAAGATAGTAAAGCAGCCCCCATAAAAATAAATAAACCCAACGTTCATCAAAAGTTCCTGTATTCACGGACTTGATCAGTGAATAACAATTGTTAAATTCCTATTTGCCGATGTTCTCAATAGGAATTGAACTAAACATTGAAGGCTGTTTGAAAAAGATATACTATATTGTAAACCTCAACAATCTTACCCCCCTCGGGTTAAACATGATCTGTTTTTGAGGAAGCCATGTCTAGAACTATTCGACGAAAAATAATTATTTTACGTATTTTGATTTTACTGAAACAGGAAACCAATTCCCTATATTATTCTTCATTTCTAGTCAATTTGAATGTAAGGATAGAACATATTATATGTGTTTCGATCTAGAAGTAATTAACATAAAAACTGATTTAATTGTCATATTTTATAATTCACAATTACCTCTGAATGTTACCGATACATGTATTTTTTAATGTCTGTTTCATTTTCTGTTCATTAATTAACTAACAAATTTTACAGTTTCCATCATAAATATTACGTTAAATGTGGAACCCTTTAAGAAAGACATTATATATTGTATTAAATCAAATTGCCATCGACAAGTTTGCTCCAATAACAATACTTTAGAGGTTAGCCTTACCTGCAAGGTTCCTCCCCAATCCTCCATGAAGGAGGGTCACAACGAAAACAAGTGGCAACCACTTCATAATGATCGAAAGTTTGTGCTAATCTATTGAGATCTTTGTTACAACGACATGACGGAGACAAAATTCTTACAGGTGATAAAAGGGGGCACGTGGATGTCACAATTATCTTAGTCATGACACCATTGTTTGTTATCAAAGGGTGAAGGATAATTGGACTGACCATATTGACCGTTACTTTCTTTGAAATCTACACGAATACCTACATATAGCAAATGACCATCTGTCGACCTTGGAAGTGGTCAGCCCAACGATAACATCCCACTCTGTTCGTGACAGGTGTCGCACATTTACTGTAGAAAGTGGTCCTTTCAGACTTGTAGCTATGGAAACGGTCAAACAAAACTGAAGAAGGATTAAAACATTAAATTGAAATATTTGCCTACAATACATGATGTCTTGATATGTAATTATGTAATTTCAATTGTTTTCTATAATTAAAGACACACTAATAATAATCTATTTTTTCCCGGATGTGACGGTAGAAATCGTGACAAGAGCCACATGTGGTAATGGTAGACATCGTGACGAGTGCCTTATATGTGGTGATTGGAGATATCCTGTCTGAGTCACATATGGCTTACACCCCCAGGGCACTTGGTTAAGCCGAGTGAAAATACATTATTTTGATTAAATAATAGCAAGTGACAAGTTTAAACTAAACACAATAAAGGAATACCTCGTTCGAATTTTCTCTTTATTCTTTTCAATGACAATAGAAACACTATTTTGCTGAACAAAGCGTTCAGACTCAATGATCGTGAGGTTTGCGTGTGTACACGACGTTAAGATATAAGTGTACCTCTTTTTGTTTAGTAATATATGTGTTATAAAACTTAGAATACGTAGCATATACTTTGTATAGGGCGCCTATGGCTGAATGGTCTATTCCCGGCCTTTTTTGAGGACGGTCGGGTTTCAATCCCTCAAGTCGTTGTACAATTGTCTGGAAGGTGTTACATTCTTTGCGTTGTAACTTTGAGTGAGGTGGCATTATGGAAAAAAACATCGTTGGAAGCATGGTCCAACCACGCTACAGACCATAAACTCCTTCAGCAGATACACATGTGGGGGTGTAAGTCTGGTGGCTTGTGACCAGTTGTAAGCACGTCCTATCTGCTCCTACGATATCCTCATTTACCATTGATTGTTTCAATTGATTACATTGTAAAGCGCCGCAAAGTGGCTAATTTTTGCTATATAAAGTGCTTCATCATTTTCAGGTTATAATAATAATAAATTCTTCACATTTTCGTGACCAAATAAACGTTTACTTGCTCAGCATAATGGTTGCTGTTAGTGGACACTAGATATTTGTGTGTGTAGGTGTGTGTAGGTGTGTAGGTGTGTGTGTGTGTGTGTGTGTGTGAGTTGAGATATGTTAGTATGTTTATGATCGCATTGACCTGAAGTGACGTACCCATGCCCTGTTTGATCTTTGTATAGGTTGTAATACTTTGTCCACAGCCTTGCTAATATTCATGTTCATCATCAAATATTATACATTTTCTTTCATATTATATTTAGTTTTTAGTAAATGGAACAAAATTTATATACCGGAGCGTCAACATACTATGAGAATATCGGAATTCAATACCTATTTTGAAAACATCAAGAACTTTCATTCGTTATCTCGTGTCAAATCCAGGAAATTGTGTTGGTCAATAACGGTCCAAGACACTGTCATAATGTCTTAATTTATCCCATAGTTCAACAAAATAGTACCCTATCGTCAATGCAAAATAATTAAATAATAAAACGATTAACTTAAATTCCAATAACAGGAATTGAGGAGTCGACAAAATGAAGAAATCACGAACTCCCCAAATATATCAGGTTCGCATGACAACTGTAGATGTTCACCCTGTTTATGTTATCAAATATACATAAATCATCATGACGTCTTATACATCATTCCACACCATTCTTACTGATGTAAGAATTATTTCGCATGAACAGTAAAGTTTGACATATTTAGTATTTTGTATCAATTAAATTCTTATTCGAAAACACTAAAATATAAAAGAAAAGAAGATCGATATGGACACTTCAGTATTAATGTTTAATATGATTTTCTTCGGTAGGGTTTGGGGAGGAACTCGGACTAGGCGTCGTGGTGAGTGTTGTCTGGCTAGTTATCGTGGATGGAGTGGTGAGAGAGGACATTGATGCGGTACTCGGCTTATGTTCTTGTCCTGAAGAAGTATCTATCGATGAAGATTGATAAATACTCATTCCTGAGTTTGGAACGAAGTTAAGTTGCATATTGTTGACTGCTACCGGATCGAACACAGGCATCCCAATGTTTGAGTTCTTATTTGGCAGTTGCGGACTAAAGAGCGTGTTGTCCTGCAACGTATTAGAACCATCAACACCCTTGGAGTTGAGCATGTCTACGGCGCTAAAGTGCATTTTTGCCTGATTTACCGAAGTAGGATTAAACACCATAGCTTTACCATTTGGAAAAAGCTGCCCCGGAGTGAATTCGGAATTGTACTGACTAAATGAACTAGTAGTTGTGGAGTTATCGTTCTTGTTTTTATCCACAGGAATGAAAGGCGGCTCGAAGTTCATGTGGACATCATTGATTTTTGTTGGATCGAAATTCGTTTGAGTCGCCTTGTCCAAATCATAGCCTGGATTACGATCAAGCATATTAGACGGATCAAAGTTCATTTTTACATTGTTAACATCATTTGGATTAAAAGCAGCAGTGTTTACTTCCGATGGATTAAAACTTCCGCCAAACGCTGAACCCCCAGTACTTCCTAAACTACCCATTCCCAAAAATGCCGACATGTAATCCATGTTGGAGGTGTTTGATGAATTGTTTTGCTGCTTGTTATCTTGCATGGCTGTAATAGATACCTGATTGACTTGATTTGGGTCAAAATTCCCTGTGAAAGCTGAATTATCCATCATACTCATTCCACCGGTGCTGAGAAAGCCGCCATTGTTTTCGTTGGTCGCTTCAGTCGACTGATTGGATTTCTGAGTTGCAAGAACATTGACCTTCATTGGGTCAAACATCGCGTTACCCGAGTTTTCATTGAAACCCATCTGTTTGTATATATCGAAGCTCATCTTTGCCTTGTTCACTTCGGCTGGATTAAACATGGCTGTCATACTTCCAGACATGTCGTAACTTGGCTGAGATCCAGCCTGTGACCCAGTGTTACCAGTCCCGCCAATCCCTCCTGTCAGTGCAGACATCATAGGAGACAATCCGGATTGAAACTTCCCCATTTGATTAACCTGATTAGGGTTATATTCAGCCTTTAGAAAAGTGTTGGTTTGGGCTGCCGCCGGTACCTGGTTATATCCCATCATCAGAGATCCGGGACTAAAGTTCATCATTTGTGCGATACCTGCATTGACGTTGTCGGGATTAAACAAGGGTCCCTCAACCCTCGGCGGATTCACACTCACGGTAGAACCAATAGTCGTCTCTGGTTGGTCAGTGGGTGTTATTGTACTGGATAATGTGGTGGATTGTTGTGAATCTTTGGACTTTGGACTGGGTGTATGTGGCCTAGAAATATTTGCTTCTACGACCTCTGTTCCATTTTCATTACGAGATGATTTTCTCAGGAATTTTGTCTCGAATGGATCAGGTAATGCTTGACTGTCTTCCCCAATAAACAGAGATTTAATGAGCGAGTCCGGATCAAACTGGCGTTGAGCAGCATTGATCCGGTCAGGGTTAAATGCTGCCTGGTACGTTCTGGTTATAGAAAACGTGTTGTCTTTGCCACTGATCGGTGACAGTGGCTGTGCGTGTGTCTGTTGGACATTGTTAGCATAACGGCTGTCTTGATGGAAATTGTTTCTGAACTGTTGTCGAAGACGTGCTTGTGATGGTGTGGGTACGGGTTTTGCTAATGGTTTGTCATATGGGTTAACAGTTACCCTACCTTCATTTCCCATGAATTGTAAGTAGGTGCTTGGCACGGTTTTTACAGCCGGATGATTAAATATGTCTGGATTGTAGGCAGAATGGTGGACGACTTTCTCCTCCTGATTAAGCTGCTGTTTTGACTGTCCGCTGTAAGTCATTAGATCTTTGTTGACTGTATCCGCATTGAACATATTCTTTGGAATTTCCTTGTTGCCAAAAGACGGTGGATACATACCAGGTTGGAATCCACTACTGCCATAGGAGTTGATCTTGTCAGGATCAAAGGTGAATACATGACCTTTCATTCCTAGTGCTGCCATCATCGAATCAGGCTTGAAGTTTAACTGTGAGGTCCCCATAATGCTCGGCTTGTTATTTTCTTGTACGTCTGTCTCATCAGTCTGAACTGGACTGGTTTGTTGTGTTTGCTGTGGGACTTGGTTCTGATTTGCATTCCATTGGTTTGCAGTGATATAGATCTGCTTTGTCAGAAAGGCATTTGGGTTATATTGTGACGTTTCTGCTTCTATCGATGCCATCAGCTTGTTCGGATCAAATGATGTTTCCACTTCACTGGCTAATGGTCTACTACCGACCTCTGCATTATGAAACATTGTGTTAGGACTATTCTGGTCCCTGTGGCCATTGGTATCTGCAATTCCAGAAGCACTCATGTACCCAGGGTTTAATTGCGTTTTACCAAGTGAAGATACCGTTTGAGATTGCTGGTTTGTGGAGGATCCAATAGACTGTTGTTGTGGGGAAATCAGTGTCTGCCCACTGTTGAAACCAGTTGAAGGTGGCTTTTTTGATAGGTTGTTGTATTGAGAATGACCTTGGCCTTCCTGCTGTATTTTGGGACTTCCTGTTATTGTTGCATGTTGATGTTGGCTATCTGATGTTCCAGTGAAACTCCCATCAACTATATGGGGACGCTGACCAATATTCGTTTTCAAGGGTATTTGACCTTGGATGAGACCTTGGGTATCTGTCTGGCTTTGGGTTTGGCCTTGAATCTGACCCGACGGTGACTGTTTATTCAGTTCCAGGTTGATAATTTGAGATAGCGTCTTTAGAGAGTTGGCGTCCATGTGAGTAAGAGTTTGTATGAGATAGTTTGAGAACTTGTTACCATTTTGTCCGGCGGTGTTGCTGTGAGAGGCGGGTGGTTGTGCGGGCGGCGAGCGAGTAGTGGGTTGAGTTGTCGTGCCGTCGATACCCTTGTTTACAGGATTGAGATATGGTGGTAGATGGAACGGGGCAGGGTCATCTATACTTGTGCTGACGTCAAGACCGGGTAGTGTGATGGAGCTGCTACCTGGATAAGTAAAGTGATAACTCAATGTTTATTGATCATAATAACAAATTGATCAGCTAGATAATGATGTGATAGAGATGGCATTATGCTAACAAAACGTGTTCGGTTTTAGTATTTAGTAAATAATTGACAATGGGAGATAACTCCAATATATAAACACATTAGAACAAAACACCTACGACATCAAAAATAAAACATATACCATATAATCTGTATACTCAGATTCAGAGTTACAATTTATTATAAGACACTAGATTGTCATAAATCGGTCATGATTATTTTCTAAATTAGTTAAATCCTGTTTCGTTATTATTAGAATGAATATCTACTTAAACAACATGTATTTTTATTATATTGCTTTATGTTCTTTTCATTTAATCATCGTTCAATGATGGTTTAAATTGCACAACTGACAGAAAAGCCATGTAAACATTCATGAATCCTTTGTCTGAATATTTCAATCTCTTAATAATGCTAAAATGTATAACCTCCTGTATTGAGGGCAAGCATATGTGTAGAATTTGGTAAATGAAATGTGTAAAGATTAATGTAAAATGTAATCTGTAAAACGTTTAAATCCACCATGGTCTCAAGTTTAACGGTAAACAAGTCAGAGTTGGAGTGTTTAAGATAACAAAACTATTAACCGTGGTTATAATATCTTTGCCAATGTGCAACATGCGTTCACTTCCTTCTTTACGGAAAATATAAATTATTTTTTCTGTATTTAAAACTGAATCTAATACATGCAATATATGATATTTTATCAAATGGGATAACAATTTTGGATCTCTATAGGAATAAGAATGAACTAACCTTGTAAATTACTAATAATGTTAAATTTTGTTCTTTTCGCGGGAGCATATGCTACTTTACTTACCGGAGATCCACATTATTATCAAAACAATAGCGGCCAAAGTCATGGTGCCTGTCATCCTCGTCCTGTACTAACGAATCAATCAATTAATGCATGGTCTGTGTACGTGAATATTTTTCTCTTGTCTACAATCCAGTAATAATAATAGTAATGCAATAACATGGCCATCCTACCGTGATGTCCGGTGACGTTATCGGGTAGTCTGATAAGTTTATCGTCATTTCCCCCTCTTCAGTCACGTCACTAACCCGAGGAAGCAGCTGTGTGGCTAGTATCGCTAAACACACAGGCAGGATTGGCAATATAATAATTGTCTGTAGGTACTGTAACTTCAGTTAAGGAAGAAATGCCTTACTTCCTTACAAATGTTTACAATCTCTGATATAAGCCTGATGGACGGAGTGTCAGGATATATTTAATCCATTCAGTGCATCAATTTATCAATGTGTATTAGCTGTGGGAAGTGTTTTATTGCAAATTTCATCTGAATTAAATTATGCATATGGTTTATTTTGCTTATATGTTATTGTATTTCTGGTTTCCTGTTTTGTCGTTGTCACCTGCCCATTGGTTTGAACCGTAGTTTAGACCAGTCTGGATTTCGAAATTTTAGGCCCATAGCATCACTGATAAGTCCTAGAAGGACGAAACAGCTGTATGGTGCAGTGTGATTCATATTTGGCATACTGTATCTACTACTATTACCCGACTTTAATGGTGCAATCATCTTTCACATGGGTCGCCGTCGTTGTTACGTATGATAAATGACTGACGCCAATAGAATCAAATTTTGCTGCGTTACGTAGTATAGCAGTTAATAATTGTTTGTATGTTTCATTTCCTAATAATTATAGGTTTCAGACAGGCGTGAGACTTGAGAGTAATGAATATTCATAGCGAATTATACAGGTGAAAGTGGGTATGCATAGTACATGGCTCGGTCGGTGAGAAGTTAGCTGGACGAGATTTACGTGTGGCAGGGCGGATGTAAACGTGGTTGGTTCGAATAGGGTGGCGAGGCATTCTAGCCTGACACAGCACAGTCAACTGTCAATTTTTATTTTTTTTATTTTTTCTATTTTTTATTTCTACAACTTTTGTTTAGTGAAACATGGATGATCTAGGACATCACCAGGTTTTCCAGAGTTTTTGAGACTTATTAAGTGTTAAATATTTTTTTTTACCCTGGATGTCGGGGAGGTGGTTCCCTGTAATGCAATGCTTATATCATTGTCCAGATGACATGGAAGAGTGAGAATTCGATATGATTAGTACACAATTGTCACAAGTGTTTAAAAAATAACATACATATTGAATATAAACGGCTCCTCTATTGTCTCTGAACAGGCTACCGGCATATATGTGTTGTTATCCCCTGCTTTCGCCGAAATGGAGGATATTAATTTGGGTTTGACCATCTGTCTGTCTGTCTGCCTGTCTGTCTGCTTCGTTTCCATGCAATAACTGGAACAAATATTAACCGATTTTCTTCAAACTTGGTAAGTGGGTTAAATGCCTTAAGGGTTCGGCCAAGTTCAATGACCACTTTCAGTGGACTTTATTTGGCGGAGTTATGGCCCCTTGAATAACGAAAAACGCTATTATCTGCTGTTTCCGTGCAATAACTGCAACAAATGTTAACCGATTTTCTTCAAACTTGATACCAGGGTTAAATGCCTTAAGGGCTCGACTGGGTTCGATGACCTTATTTAGCGGAGTTATGGCCCTTGAATAACGAAAAACGTTATTATATACCTACATGTTCAATAAAAAGTGTAACCTCTGTATAAGACTTTTTTCTTTCTTCGAGTTTCAAGCTATACATTATGTCTCAACAGCACGATACTCGCATGTTTAAACTTAACCTCAATAATGTTAACCTACAATATGACCTGCAAGCGGGGGATATAAATTCCACGAATTTGCTTGTTTACATTGATTTGGAGGTTGTATTTTCATGGATGAATAGGACAGACCAGAATATAATTAGTATAATCCTGCTGCAACTTATATGTTCCATACCATTGTAAGCAAAGTCAAATTTATACAAGAACAGGATTATATAACTGATGTTTGATTAATCATAGATAATGGGAGTGTATAATGGAGTATGCTTCATTATCTTAATATTCCATTCAACTTTATTAGGAAATATTATTAAGTATGTAATGGTTAACCAAACAGATACAAAGTGTTATAAAAGACACTTTACCTACACTCAATACGGAATATTTAAAGTCTGTTTGGGTGCAAGCCTATTATTCTATGTTCCTAAAATATCAGAATACCTCAATGTAGAATAAAATATATCGACAATGTGTGACTGGTACTCGTATCTAGTACATTGATTAAAAGAACAATGTTTAAAGAAATGCAATTTTTAAGTTATTACAACGTTTTTCAAAGTCTTTGGATTATTGGAATAATTTGCCTACCTCTAGCAATAACATGATTATTATAATAAAATATCAATATCTATTTTTTTTTCTTTCTAAATGACAGCAGATTTGTAGGTTCGGAAACATTGAAAAAAATGGCTTGCGTTATACAACTGCATGATAGAGTGAGGCAACTAACGAAAGCCCCTACCCACGCATACGAATAGAACGCTAACTTCTGTGTCCTCTTACCGCTTACATTTAGGATTCAAAGCTTTGTTTGCTGCCCCGATTTTGACCCCTGAGATCTCTTTTTCTCGTTTCTTCGTTTTTAGATTCTTTTTATCTGGACTCTTCATGTCATGTCAATATTAAATTAAGTTACTTTACCTGTACTTTTAACATTGATTTATAGGACCACAGTCTACTTTCGTCATGTTATTACCGACCGGCACTTTCTGAAGTTTTGTGTTGATGGATAAGTAATAATTTCATGATGCTTGATGAAAGCTTTTTGAAATATATCAATCAAAAATAAAACGTCCTCCTTAAAAAAAATCAAGACAGCAAGACCATTCAGTGTAATATGTTTTTTTTCGGTGGCACCAAACTGTAACACCATTGCCTTCGTTAGCTATGTTTACGCAGAAAACATAGATGGTATGTATTCAATAAATGGAAGATGGTTGTTCTGGTCTTCGGGAGTCTTTAAAGTCTGCAGGTTGACCAGAATGAAAACAGAGTCATGACCCATATTCCAATATTGACAATGAATATAAGCGACGTATCAGTCTTGTCATTAACTACCAGGCTTACGTGATGAAAACTCTGTACGTGTTTACAAGTCTTGCTATCGTTATTTTAAGCTGGCGGTGAGTTTATTTGGTTATTGTACCTATATGTTTAGCCGACAGAAAGTTTATTTTAATATAGTGCCTTTATGTTTAGCCGACAGGGTCATAGTACGTTTATGTTTAGATGATAGTGAGTTTATAAGGTTAAAGTACGTTTATGTTTAGATGATAGTGAGTTTATAAGGTTAAAGTACGTTTATGTTTAGATGATAGTGAGGTTATTAGGTTATAGTACGTTTATGATTAGATGATAGTGAGTTTATTTGGTTATAGGACTTTTATGTTTAGCTGACAGCGAGTTTATATGGTTAATGTACCTTTATGGTTAGCTGACATTGAGTTTATTTGGTTATAGTACCTTTATGTTAAGATGATAGTGAGATTATTGAGTTACACTGCCTTTATATTTAGCTGACAGTGAGTTTATATGGTTAAAGTACCTTTATGTTTAGCTGACAGTGAGTTTATTTGGTTATAGTACGTACCTTTATGTTTAGCCGACAGTGAGTTTATTTGGTAATAGTACGTTTATGTTTCGCCGACAGTGAGTTTATTTGGTTATAGTACCTTTATGTTTAGCCGACAGTGAGTTTATTTGGTTATAGTACGTTTATGTTAAGCTGACAGTGAGTTTATTTGGTTATAGTACCTTTATGTTTAGATGATAATGAGTTTATTTGGTTATAGTACGTTTATGGTTAGCCGACAGTGAGTTTATTTGGTGATAGTACGTTTATGTTTATCTGACAGTGAGTTTATTTGGTTATAGTACCTTTATGGTTAGCCGACAGTGAGTTTATTTGGTTATAGTACGTTTATGTTAAGCTGACAGTGAGTTTATTTGGTTATAGTACGTTTATGTTTAGCCGACAGTGAGTTTATTTGGTTAAAGTACCTTTATGTTTAGCTGACAGTGCGTTTATATGGTTATAATACGTTTATGGTTAGCCGACAGAGAGTTTATTTGGTTATATTACCTTTATGTTAAGCCGACAGTGAGTTTATTTGGTTATAGTACCTTTATGTTTAGCCGACAGTGAGTTTATTTGGTAATAGTACGTTTATGTTTCGCCGACAGTGAGTTTATTTGGTTATAGTACCTTTATAGTTAGCCGACAGTGAGTTTATTTGGTTATAGTACGTTTGTGTTAAGCCGACAGTGAGTTTATTTGGTTATAGTACGTTTGTGTTAAGCCGACACTGAGTTTATTTGGTTATAGTACTTTTATGTTTAGCCGATAGTGAGTTTATTTGGAAATAGTACCTTTATGTTTAGCCGACAGTGAGTTTATTGGTTGTAGTACCTTTATATTTAGCTGACAGTGAGTTTATTTGGTGATAGTACGTTTATGTTTATCCGACAGTGAGTTTATTTGGTTATAGTACCTTTATAGTTAGCCGACAGTGAGTTTATTTGGTTATAGTACGTTTATGTTTAGCCGACAGTGAGTTTATTTGGTTATAGTACCTTTATGTTTAGGTGATAATGAGTTTATTTGGTTATAGTACGTCTATGTTAAGCTGACAGTGAGTTTATTTGGTGATAGTACGTTTATGTTTATCCGACAGTGAGTTTATTTGGTAATAGTACGTTTATGTTTCGCCGACAGTGAGTTTATTTGGTGATAGTTCGTTTATGTTTATCCGACAGTGAGTTTATTTGGTGATAGTACCTTTATGTTTACCCGACAGTGAGTTTATTTGGTTATAGTACGTTTATGTTAAGCTGACAGTGAGTTTATTTGGTGATAGTTCGTTTATGTTTATCCGACAGTGAGTTTATTTGGTGATAGTTCGTTTATGTTTATCCGACAGTGAGTTTATTTGGTGATAGTACTTTTATGTTTATACGACAGTGAGTTTATTTGGTTATAGTACCTTTATGTTTAGGTGATAATGAGTTTATTTGGTTATAGTACCTTTATGTTTAGGTGATAATGAGTTTATTTGGTTATAGTACCTTTATGTTTAGGTGATAATGAGTTTATTTGGTTATAGTACGTCTATGTTAAGCTGACAGTGAGTTTATTTGGTTAAAGTACCTTTATGTTTAGCTGACAGTGAGTTTATTTGGTTATAGTACCTTTATGTTTAGATGATAATGAGTTTATTTGGTTATAGTTCCTTTATGTTTAACCGACAGTGAGTTTATTTGGTTAAAGTACCTTTATATTAAGCCGACAGTGAGTTTATTCGGTTATAGTACCTTTATGTTAAGCCGACAGTGAGTTTATTTGGTTATAGTACCTTTATGTTTAGATGATAATGAGTTTATTTGGTTATAGTACCTTTATGTTTAACCGACAGTGAGTTTATTTGGTTAAAGTACCTTTATGTTTAGCTGACAGTGAGTTTATTTGGTTATAGTACGATTATGTTTAGCCGACCGTGAGTTTATTTGGGTACAGTACGATTATGTTTAGCCGACAGTGAGTTTATTTGGGTATAGTACCTTTATGTTAAGCCGACAGTGAGTTTATTTGGTGATATTACGTTTATGTGTAGCCGAAATGAGTTTATTTGGTTATAGTACCTTTATGTTTAGCCGACAGTGAGTTTATTTGGTGATATTACGTTTATGTGTAGCCGAAATGAGTTTATTTGGTTAAACTACCTTTATGTTTAGCTGACAGTCAGTTTATTTGGTTAAAGTACTTTTATGTTTAGCAGACAGTGAGTTTATTTGGTTATAGTACTTTTATGTTTAGCCGATAGTGAGTTTATTTGGAAATAGTACCTTTATGTTTAGCCGACAGTGAGTTTATTGGTTGTAGTACGTTTATGTTTAGCCGACAGTGAGTTTATTTGGTTATAGTACCTTTATGTTAGGTGACAGTCAGTTTATTTGGTCGTATTACGTTTATTTTAACCGACAGTGAGTTTATTAGGTTTTAATACCTTTATGTTTAGCCGATAGTGAGTTTATTTGGTAATAGTACCTTTATGTTTAGCCGATAGTGAGTTTATTGGTTGTAGTACGTTGATGTTTAGCTGAAAGTGAGTTTATTTGTTTATATTACCTTTATGTTTAGCCGATAGTGAGTTTATTTGGTAATAGTACCTTTATGTTTAACCGATAGTGAGTTTATTGGTTGTAGTACGTTTATGTTTAGCCGACAGTGAGTTTATTTGGTTATAGTACCTTTATGTTAGGTGACAGTGAGTTTATTTGGTCGTATTACGTTTATGTTAACCGACAGTGAGTTTATTAGGTTTTAATACCTTTATGTTTAGCTGAAAGTGAGTTTATTTGTTTATATTACCTTTATGTTTAGCCGATAGTGAGTTTATTTGGTAATAGTACCTTTATGTTTAGCCGACAGTGAGTTTATTTGGTTATAGTACGTTGATGTTTAGCTGAAAGTGAGTTTATTTGTTTATATTACCTTTATGTTTAGCCGATAGTGAGTTTATTTGGTAATAGTACCTTTATGTTTAGCCGACAGTGAGTTTATTTGGTTATAGTACGTTGATGTTTAGCTGAAAGTGAGTTTATTTGTTTATATTACCTTTATGTTTAGCCGATAGTGAGTTTATTTGGTAATAGTACCTTTATGTTTAGCCGACAGTGAGTTTATTTGGTTATAGTACGTTGATGTTTAGCTGAAAGTGAGTTTATTTGTTTATATTACCTTTATGTTTAGCCGATAGTGAGTTTATTTGGTAATAGTACCTTTATGTTTAGCCGACAGTGAGTTTATTTGGTTATAGTACGTTGATGTTTAGCTGAAAGTGAGTTTATTTGTTTATATTACCTTTATGTTTAGCCGATAGTGAGTTTATTTGGTAATAGTACCTTTATGTTTAGCCGATAGTGAGTTTATTGGTTGTAGTACCTTTATGTTTAGCTGACAGTGAGTTTTTTGGTTATTGTACCTTAATGTTTAGCCGACGGTGAGTTTATTTGGTTATAGTACCTTTATGCTTAGCCGACGGGGATATTTTTGGGGGTAATGTTCCTTCATGTAAAAACGACGGTGAGTTTAGTAAGTTAAAGTACTAATTTTGTTTGTTTGAGTTTAACAGCTTATCAACAACTATAGACATTAAAGGGCAGAATAATCTTTTATTTTGGGGCGACCATGTGTATAAATGACTAGTCGATGGTAAGTTTATAAGGTACTTGTATTTGACTACCTAGCAGATGGTGAGAAAGTAATTTTAATCAATGTAGCATCATGTTTAGCTGAAAACTGTATGTGTGGTTATCACGCACCGTAAGCTATTCCGTTATTACGTGTTCTTATCATGAAACATTGATTGATGATAGGTGACGACTAAATTAGTCTTTTTGTTCTAAGAAACCAAATAATAAAAAATTATCATATTTGTCATGACGAAATGTAATGGGTATATTTGCATGTCTCGTTTATGTAACATTTGATGAAGTAGGATGTACAGGTTGTTGTTACTTTTCAGGGCCCTTTGACCCCGATGCCTTGAACCAGAACAGGTTCTGGTGGGTTCAGCTCCAGTTGTTTTGAAAACTTCTGAATGTAGTTTTTGTTTCGGGTCCGGTTCAAGGTTTGGGTCCTAATCTGGGTAAGGCAGAAGCTATAGCAGCAGCGGGGTATTTGGTAGTGACAGTGGATTCTCCGGTGGATCATAGGGAAGGTGTGTATCATCGTCTTGTTTGATGAACTGTTTTAGTATATATAATGAATGTGCGTAATAACAAGGAATTTGCTATAGTCATCAGAAAAAAAGTATTCCATTTTTAAAAGATTTCCTGAAATTTGTATGATTTCTATTTTCTTAGGAACTGGAAGACACCATTAATTATAAGCCTCACTGTGACCCCACTCCGTATCATGCAAGTTGGATCCTTCGATCCAAATTCTATGTTAGCAGGAAGCTGCGACCCGAATGCTCATCTACCTTGCATGGTTTACTGTATTTTATAATTCCAAAACAGTCTCTCTGGTTGCTATAGAGTAAATCAATTTTATTGAGATGTAACATTAATGTATAACACAGAAATTCATGACATATCTTGTGAAGTTTATGTATATAACTCAGGTCATTAACACAGTCTTGAAACCGATGATGTATGTAAATAAAATGCCATTTTTTCCCTTTGTGGTTTTAATTATCTCTGTGAAGTCATCACTTAAAGCTCTCAGCTTTAGGTATGCAGTACCGTAAACATTTCTAGTACAAGTATAGTATGCTATTAACTAACAAAGATGTTTACAACAGTTTGATTCTCTAGATTGATTATAAATATATTCCAACTCATGAGTCATTTGAACATATGTTGAATGTACCATAGTGTTTATAATAGTTTCTGAACCTATCTAATTATGTTCTTTTTTGTTGTACCAGAAGTAAAGGTATAAAACTAGTGATCGTTTCCCCAACCCTGTTATTCATATCGTTGTATCATAATTTCAAGTCACTCTATGATGATCATTAAGATTCAGTATGACTTCCGTCCATATCGAAATATATTATTAGATTATAAAATTGATCGGTTATTTTTCTTCTTACAAATAACATAACTGGTAGCAATAATATTGACATTTTTACTGACAAATCATGCTTGTATTAAGATGTCACATGAAAACATATAATAGAAATAAAAAATATCATTCAGTGATGAACCAGACAAAGCAGGCGCTTTGCTTTAGCTCATGCATGTGCATTCAGACAGCAGGTTTCTAGTTCCTTCCTTGTGGACGTCTACGAGTGCGGTTACTGACCGGTCATTTCCGGTGCCATACCCGGAAGCCATAGGACTTGCTTATCATCAGTGATCTTGCCCTGTGATGTCTGGATGAGGGAATATCCGCCATCTTCTTTTTTCGTTACAGGAGACATGGGTATGGCGGGTGTAGAGATAACGTCCACGGTTGTCTCGGTTTCCGGAGTGGTAGGGTGCGCTGTTGATTCTGGTGTCACGATTGTGGTGGAAGTTGTAGTTGATAACATGGGAGGTGTTGTTCTCTTGTTTTGCTGTTCAAGCAGTTCTATATAATTTTGGTATAAACTGGCAAATGTAACGACGTGACCATCGGGTTTTAAATTATTTTTTGCATCCAGGTCATTGAATTCTTGGAGAAGGAGCTCGAGTGGAACTTGGTGTGCCATGTTGCTGGAATGGGTATTTGACAAGGAACTGCTGATGCTTGGCTCTTGTTTGTCTGCTTCCGGTAATCCTAAATACATTTGTTGCACTGGTTTTACTTGATTGTTTACATTGGTCAATAGAGGTGATATGGTAGGCACTATAATCATACCTTCCATAAAAGGCTGCCTGCGTATCGGTATGGCATCCACGTGTATAGCGTCTGCCACTATGTGGAAGTCACCATTCAACAGTTGCTTCAGCATCCCCAACATAGGTCTGTTGTTCTTAGACACTGTCATTTGGACCAATTCGGGCCTCACAGGTACCATCATGTTTGATTGCCACATGTCAGGTCGCTCAAATAAGCCTTGACCATATGATTCTCTGTTGGGTTTGAGATAGTCTGGGCGCACTGAATGGGAAGCAAACGATATGCCAGTATTCGATGGTTTACTTCCTTCATACCAAATGGGCTTTAATAGAGACCTTGTCATTGGTTTCTGAATCGTATTTTGAAAGGATTCATGTTTCCCAAGTGGTTGGGGAAATGACGGTCTTGAGTCGGAATGGAGGAAGTCTCTGGCCGGCAAGTACTCAGGTGTAGATGCAGTCGCCAAGTCTGGTAAAACATAAAATGTACCGTGTTATTCGGAATGGAGCAAGATAAACCTGATTTAACCGACACATGGTTTTAAGGATGCCATGCATTGATTTTCTGACGAGGTTTAACGGTAAAAAAACCCCGTAGAATATGTGTTTTCTCTGTCATTATACGACCACTGATTCAGTTCCCTGTACTTGAATTGAAGATGACATTAACAAAATATTAAAATCCTATGCATTCTGGTTGGAAGTATTTGGCCTTAAACAATTGAACGCTTCAGTTGAACTATAATTCATTCAATTCTGGTATATAAATATATATTTTATCAGAATGGGTGGCTGAACGTTAGACACACAAGTACGCCTATAGAATTAATTAATAGATATAGTACGCGGAAATGAAATGGGAAGTAAATGTGTATATCAGCTGTGCATATTTTACCTGTTAAAAGCAGCAGAGAAATGAGACAGATGACAGCTTGAGTCACGGCGGACATGCTGGAGTGATACAAAATGCAGCGATATTCGGTGGACTGGTGTTATTTTCTCTTGTATAACTTAATGAGGTTTGGCGGAAGCAGGTGGGATCTACGTCACTAGATGGGGTGATAGGGTATCATCTGGGTCTCCCCCGTCACCCACACTGATATCGTATCCATATACCAGGTGTCAGAACTCCAGTTTACGGCAGGATACTAATCACATTCATATACACTGCATTAGTGATAAAGTGTCAGAATAGTATTATCCTTCTAAGTTACCATACGTAGACTTGTTAAGGAGGTATGTATGTGTATATTCTGTAAAATCGTAGGATTTGTCATTAAACTGTCTACTTAGTAAGTGTTTTGCTTTTTTTACGTTTCCCACTACACATTACAGGACTTCAAACGGTACCTATTTTAATTTTTTGCTTAGGGCAAGCTACACAAGGAATTTATAAACATTCGCATAATGCTAGATAACTAGTACCATACCACAATAAATAAACTTAGTCAATATGAGTTCATTAGCATTATGATTTGTAAATACTGATAAGGACGCTCAGAATCGTAATTTTCTAAAACCATTACCTCAGTTATTCCCCTGCATTTTAATTGAAACTATTTGCAGTTGTGATCACATGGGGACAGACTGTTCTAACTAATCATTGGTTTACGAAAACAATCTTGTGTTAGGTGGTCTGCAGGGGAAAAGTCCTTGTCCAGGTAGATTCAGGTGTTACATTGTGAAAAGTGAGGCAACTCTTTCACTCAATTGTACCTAGCGATAGGAAATGAGAAAACATTTAAACAGAGAAAGCACAGAACTACATGAATATAAAAATTGAAAACCGTGATAAAGGGAAAAACCGTAACATATTTTTTTATTTGATCTTTTAAAGATAATTAAGTCATATGATACTCAATAAAAACGCTATGAGTGTGTCGAGATAAACACGTATAATATGACAAGACGTGCCCCAGAAGCCTTTAACATAATTCGGCATTGTGTGTGGGTCGCTTGGAGAAATCAGTGACTCTAACAAATACAGTGAAAAGCGTCAAGACGACATACTAGAAAAGAATTGTGATAATAAACAGAGCTGAGAGTATGTGATACACAAACAGACCACTACAGAACTATTGATATATGCATAAGTAATTACAGACCTAGTTACACAGCAATCAATTAAAACGTGACATCGTCTAGACTCTGCCATGGCCCATTTTTAGTTTTCACTAAAATTAGACATTCTTTGATGTAAAAACAAATTTATATACGTTTTCGTGTTTTATGCTGGTTTGGTGTTAAAATATATCAACAATAGGCATCCATTCCATTCTCTTTATTTTGTTATTGTCTTATAATTATGAGGGTCCTGGAACAGAATCCCAGATAGACGATTGATGTGCGAGTCCAGTTACGCATTACCTGGTAAATCTACAACAAATGGAGGTCAGCTTCACATTCTAAACAGACTTGCTCCTGCTTATTTCATTGAGAATAACAACTATAGATTGTATATAATAACCTAGTTTAGTTACTTTTATAAATATTTAAACATACCTTTATAGTAACAGACAGACAGACAGACGTAAATGTATTTGCTTTCATTCATAATTTTTGAAAGATACTATTTTATTTATATATTCATGCATATCTCTACTAATTTAGTTACGTGAATTCATATCTTAACATACTACTTTTACTAAATTCATTCATATCGGAATATATATTAAATCGATTACGTTCGTATTTGAATATAGTCTTAAAATAATTTTGTTACTTTCATACTTCAACAAAGCATTGCTTGTTTAGATTTGTAAATTTAGTTTTTGTATCAATTTTAATTTTCAAAGTAGCATGTTAAAAAAGGAAAGAAGAAAACGTTAAAATCGTTATAGTAAATGTTGACCTTTAACCCCGATTAGCGCTTAAAGCTGCGTTTGACCTTATCACAATATATTTGGAAAAGAAATTAGAACTACTACATAACATACCCAGTATCATGGCCCTTCACCATAGTTCTTTAGATTATGTTGTTTGAAGTTTTTAACATATTTGACTCATGTGACCTCAAAAGTAGGTCAATGTATGTCATCAGGAGGAATCTTTATAGCAATTCATCTCAGGTACCAACTTGCCAAATATCACGAAAGAAATGAAAGGCTTTTATTTTCATTTCAACAAGAATTCATTGAAATATAAATAGATAACGGGCGCCTCACCACACGATAAGTGCATGGGAACTTATTGCCAGACGAGCAATATACAATATGAACGATTTTACTTTTTACATAAGTAATTTAAAATGTACTAAAGCAAATGTGTGATAAATAGCACAATTAATTAACGCCTTACAGCTTACGTTGTTTCTATATCAACTTGGTTTGATGTTTAATTAATTTTATCGTGAATATCCAAAGATAATAATGCTTTACATAATGAAAATCCGACGGCTTGTAAAGTTATAGAGACGTGTTTCAGTATCTGTAGATATTATTTTCTATACCTCACTATCAGATAAGCAACTAACCTACAATACGCTCGGATTTACAAATGAAATATTTACATAATGACTCTTGGTCTTGTCCTTTTCATTGCTAATCGGTGCTGCCAGTGTATAAGAAGCTCGTTGACCCATTTTTTACACTCATAGCGACCAGTGTTTTGGTGTATTTTGGTAGCACTCTGGTGGACACTTAGCAAGGTAGTGCGTTTATTTGTCAAGTATCCACTAATCTTTTGTCAAAGTGCCCACACGGCTCGGCGTTGTTCATGTGTATAAAAGATTATGTGCTCGCCGTGTCCATTCATTCAAGGATTTCAATACATATCATAGAGATAAGGTTCGGCTTAAAAAAAGAAGTAATAATGGCTTATAAAGAGCAACTATAAAAGGAAATATGTGATTAATTTGTTTTATGAACCGTTACATTTTTTAACAATTGGATTGACTCTATATGAATACAGTAGCGTTTAAAAGGCAAACCACTCGGGACATGGAAGGGGGATGGAAGTGTATAGACCACGTTACCATCATAAAAGCACACTAACTTGAATGATGCGGGAGAACGTGCTTACGAAAAAGCCTAATGTTTCTGTAATGAGACAGATGGACGTAATACCGTTTTACGAAGATAAACTAGATATTGAAATGATGGAGGTGCTGCGGACGATGCAGTCACCAGTCGTCGATGAGCGAAGACGGGTACAGCAGCGGGTCATCAACAAACATAGACTCGACTCGGAACGTCAATACTGGCTGGAGAGAGATGTCAGGGACAACGAAAATCGAGTTCTACGAAAGACTATGAGTTTGAATGACATTCGGAATTTCAGTGGTCGAAATCCCAGGTCCTACCTGGAAATACATCAGCAGCAGATTGACGCCGCGAGGAGCGATAGTGTGACCAACTCAAGGGCCAATAGCAGCCAAGACACTTACCAATACCGCCCATACCCACGCGGGGAAGTGAACAGTTCTGCATTGAGCATGGTTTATCACGGCTCCCAGCCTTCATCAAGACTTTCTATGGCTAATGTGCCCATGGATAACACGCGGAGGGAGACCCCAAACAGGTATGATTCCAGTCAATTTGCGCGCTCTGAAAGTAACAATTCATATCCAGTGAACACTGTCCGTCGATATAGCTCTCAGGGACCTGTCTATGATGATGCTTTCAGGGGTCCAAATATTTCTAGAGCTAATAATGTTTCTAGACCAGAAGTAAATGATGCTAGAAGAATGGCTATGCCATATCCTAATATTAAACATAGGCAGGGGAGTGAGGAAATACTGGTCACCATGTCCCCCGGACGACCAGACCGAGTATCTATTCGAATGGCACCCGTACCCAGTATACCCTTATCATCATCCAAGTCGTCAGCTCCGCCGAGTAACCAAAGTTCCAACAAAGTGCAATACAATTCATCAGGAGCTAATGGCCAATCAGGCACGAACTCTTCCCGGCAAGAAGGTACATCATCATTAAAACCATCGTCTTCAAATAGTAATTCAAGGAGTATATCGACAGTAAAAATGGACAAAAGCCAGCACAATACTCCCAGTATAGTGAAAAGTGCCAAACGAAATAATGCTAAATCTGACATTGTAGAAAAAACTGAGAAACCTGCTTCCTCTCAAAAAAGGGTTATCCAAACTGAGAGATCGGCTTCATCAACACGGAGTAATCAACCAGAATGGTATAGTCGGATTGACGCAGATAGCACTGCTAATTCTAAGGACGCAGAGAAGGAGAAGAAAGGCAACCCCACTACAGCAAGTATGGTGAAAACACACACAAAAGTTATAACACAGAACAAGACACCCGCTAGGGTACAAAATATCACAAATAAACAGGATAAAACAAAGGGTATTCGAAAGACAACCAAGCAGAATAAACCGCAACAAAGTTCTCTGCGGAAAACAAATTCTTTTAAAGTTGTTGGACGTTCTACAAACTTCTTCGGCTTCGTTTCCATGGCTGACATAAAAGCTAAAAAGAAAGTGACATTTTCTAACGACGATTCTGAAAGGCCAGGCACCGCTTAATCATCAATTACCAGATCACCTTCAATACTCATACATCGGATCAATATGACCAAGTGCATTGTGATATTTATCTTGATATGGATTTAGAACAAGAGTTAATGTTATTGATGTGTTAATTAAATCCCTTAATATGATCATCGTGAAACTGGAACGTGAATGATCTAAAATATAACTCGTGAAAACCATCATATAATGACATTTTAAAAACCTGGATTGATATCAACATTGTGCCATTATGACGTCAACTGTGTACCTATGTGATATCAACACTACATTGGTTGAACTTCCATCAGTGTCAAAACGTCTGTCAATTATCAATGTTACACGAACTCTTGAAAATGTATCATGACAATTTAGCGTCGTTTCAGTTGTTTTGAATAATCATGGTGGCGCGACGTCATCATACATTTCGTTCATGTCACAGGAACAATATATTGTGACGTAATAAATATTTCCGTTCAGCATTTACATTGTCAGTCGAAAGC